CGATCTTGGACTCATCTAACTTTATTCTCTACACATTCTCGTAATTGATTCTATGCGTTAGCTTAATATTTCCAGATGAATAAAAAACTAATTGGAAGGAAAATTGTATGTATCTAAGCCTAACCGGAAGAAGAGTCATACGTTTCTAAACCATGAAGAAGAAAAAAGCCTTTTGCCACTCGTTAGTCTTCGTGATAAATGGGGAATAGGAGACCATCTGAAGACTTGTGTCCACAAATGGTTCTGTTTGGTTTTGACTTTCGAACACTATTGGTGTTGATGAATACGACGAAGGGGTCGCATCTCATCATCACCTCATGAAAGTCATAATACTTACTTGGAAATTTGGATGACCCGTTTCCACTGATTGTGCGGGCCCTGGCACAATTTCTATTCTCCAGAGATTTGCTGGTTTAGCCACTGTAGTACTCTGGAGTCCTGAGTAGAGCCTGGCAAGTCTGCCTCAGGTCGTCACCACCACAGATTAGAACGAGATTTGCCACCATATGACTAGTTTGATAACGGGACGGTGGTGGTTCATGATATCGTGTACTCTTAGCTGGGGTTCCTGATGGAAACGCCGGACTCCTACTCAGCTTGGGAGACTGCTGGGGGGATGAATCGACCCTGCCGTACATCGTATCCCGACACCCAGTAACACCTCCAGGCGACGAGGAGGCGCTAAACCGTTTGGAGGTGAAATCATAACAATATCCATTTTTTCACACCATCTGAACATCACTATGCTGCTTTCATGCCACTTGGCTTTAGAATATTTTCTGTTCAGCTCCTGGATCAGTTGCTTAGCGAGTTGTTTTTGGTTCTTGCTGTAGTTGCCAATGAAATAGCGTCTTCCTATGCAGTGGAATCTCGGCTAATTAGACACTTTTTTACTCTAATATCATTGTGTTGATGCTATGCTATGCTTCATGCAATGAATCATCCTTCATGGATCTCATTACCACCGGTCCACGCGATTCCTGAAGTTATCTTACCCGCTTGTACTGCCTCTTATTCAACAGTTGTCGATTCCCACGAATGGCCCTTCTCATGTTCGCATCTGCTGCACCCATTCGCTATCATATTTCAAATGCCAATCATAAATGATTTGTAATAAATTGCTGGTTCATTGCATCCACGGGAAGCATTTTCCACGTCAGATCGACTTTCATCGAAGAGACAGGCGATGTAAGGTCCTGGGTTCGCCTTAATCCTTGGCCTCATATTCACTGGCATCCTGAAGCTCTTCCTTGTTGGAGTTGATGATGTTTTCAGCTTCAGTAACGTTTCTAAATTCACTTTCAGTGGTCTGTTTATCGATAATCCTATCAATTTGATTTCTCCACGACATGACTGAAGCGTGGAAAAATGCATGGCTAATGGAAGACTAGTTCATTTCATTACATTTCAGCCTCCATACATGGAGGTGGTTGGATTCCAGTGTTGGTTCCGCTCCTTGTCGATGAGCTGTCACTTGCTGCGTTTCTTGGTACTGCGAAACAGTCTTGTAGCAGCGCTGCCAGGCTTTCGGTTTTGGCAGTTTCACGGGCTATCGTAGATCGAAGGAAGGTTCAGTGCTTTGCGCATAGGATAACTCGAGCACTAGCGATTCTGTGATTTATTGGACGACGACCGATCGAAAACAGTGTAACTGATAATACATAGGAAGTACTTAAGAAGGACGAGTTGTGGACCGTCTAACAAAACAGTAGATTGATGAGGGGAAGAACAACGATTGTTCGGGCGATGTGACCGACATATGGATCGAACGGGTTATGAAGAAGAAAGATGGCCTCAGTTCAATGCTACCATTCTTGAAAAATGTATGTTATCCACTATCCTTTAGAAGGAAATTTACATTCTTCTCTAATCTCTATCGAGTGTTAAGTTTCAGGATCAAAAGATACTAAGCCGTAGCTATCTCATCCTCATCCTTTCTTCTGGTTCTTTTTTTTCATGCTTCCATATCAATATGGAAATCTATTTTTGATGAACTTCGACATATTTGAGGTATACAATTTCGAAATTAGGCTGATTATAGTCTTGAGAACATTTTTGTTGATCTTCAAACTCTTTCGGCGTGATGTACCTTTAAAATTGCACACTTGTTCCTTACTGATAATCAGCCATTTTAACAAATAAAAAGCTGTGCGCATTGATTTCAATGCGCATGTGCTCGAGAATGTTTGCCTTTCAGTTTCAAACAGGCGTTTATCAGCGTCTATCGAAATGCTGACATTTTATGTTGTCTACAATGTATAGTTCTCTTTTTCTACAGCAACGCCTGAAGCTAATAAATCTTGCTTTTTCTCGCTTTTTTCGTCAATTTTGGCGTCAAAGATTCTACATATTCGAATTTCGTTTGCAGCAGTCTTCCGATTATTTATACTTTAAAGCTGAAATAAATAACGTCGTAGAAAAAGAATTTATACCGTTAAAGCAATAGGGCAAGGCGCATGTGGCGCAGTGGTTGGAGGCGCCACTGCGACACGCACGTGGAGTCGATCCCAGCGACCGTGGCCCACCAAGCCTTCCATCCATCCGAGGCCGGCATATTGCTACCAGAATTGACTGGAAGGATGGCAGCATCGATACATCGGTAGGCCATCGTGAGTCATTGTAAAGGCGAGATATGCATTCAATCACCTCCAAATGATACTTAATGAAGTCGAATGCATGGAGCATCCCTCAAGGATTGATCAACGCCGAGAGCTTTATCCTTTTTAAAGCAATAGAGCATAGCCATTCTGTGAAGGCTATCAAGTTTTCAACTCAACTGTTCTATTGGTCGAAAAATTATTGGCAGTTATCGGGAACTGACTATGAGGCACTGTCGATTGAAGGCGCTCCATTTCTCGTTTCGATCTTCGACATTTTATCTAGTTAATGGAGACTTGCGAGAACTCTTGTGGCATTCTTCATCAGTACCTTGACTGAGCTGTTTCCATGTTACCGGTCAGAATGCAAGGGACGTATTTAGTGAACTATGTTGTTAATACAAAAGTGACAATCAGCGACCTGCTGTCTACCATCTAGGAGTGCTTAATCGGAATGATTCCCAATAGCATTGATAGACAATTAAACGACAGCTGGCAATAAAAACTAGCAAAGTTTCGAACTTTGGTTATTCATGAGGCTTGTGAAAACTTCAGAATTTCACCATCCTCGAGCGATCTCATAGTTGACTTAAAGACTTCCCAATTCTGACATAGTATCTCACCAAATTTATTCAACGTCACTGCAAAGAACGTCATGTGAAAGCTGCAGTGGGATAGTATGGAGGTAGAAGGCAACTACAACTTCATTCTGGTGATGAAATCGAGCTTATAGTGGTGCGGTGTGAGTGCTGGCTGACTGTGAAAACACTTTTTGAAAAAGTTGGTCTTTCTGTCTTTTGTTAACCCTACAAACTATAACTACTATAATGCTGAGATGTTTGCAAAACTCCGGCCCGCAGGTGTCTGCGTTAGGGAACGAACGCGCTATTGTCCTTTCCGGAAAGTAACGCGTTCACGATCACACCATACGGGTCCTTCGTTTCGCCTGTCTCTCAGCTAGTTTTATCGATCTTTTGCCATCAACGATCAATTTATTCAACAATCACCCATCAACGGGATTGATCTGGGGAGCCTAAATCGGCATTGAACCCAGTTAAGCTGAGGCTATAGTTATAATCACCATTTTAACCTTACTGCCTATTCTTTTTAATGGCAGGGTATGTTGCGAAATATAACTACTATAATGCTGAGATATACAGGCGAAACGAAGGACCAGCATGGTGTGGTGGCGAACGCGTTACTCCCCAGAAAGGACAATAGCGCGTTCGTTCTCCACCGCAAACACCTGCTGTCTGGAGTTTTGCAAATATCTCAGCATTATAGTAGTTATATTTCGCAACATACCGGCCGTTAAAAAGAATAGGCAGTAAATAAAAAGGTTAAGATTGTGATTATATCTACAAACTATGTTCATAGGAAATGGACTTGTTCGTAATGTTCCTGATTTTCCTGTTCCTAATTCACGTTATCCGGAACAAATATCTCAGAAGCCTTTACTCAGTGTACGCCTTGATTGGTGAGTCAACATGATGAACCGAATGAGGTCCTCATTTGAGCGCGAGAAAACGAGCAAATTCGGAAGCTTACAAGGTAACAGAAACGGTAGCGAAGAGAACAAAGGGTATCTAGCCCCCATTTTCTCGACTCCGCGATAGTTTCTGTCCGAACGTACTTCTTTAGATACTACGCAAGGAAGCTAAAAGTGTGATCGGTGTTGTTAATCACGCTATCGAATTGTTGATTGTGGAAGTATCCCACACTGAAATTGAGTCCTAATGTCCGACCTACGTCGATATTCGAAGATTACAGACGCTCCCCACTGTGTCAATATATTGGAAATCTACTGGGCTAAACAGGTAAAGCGTCTTAGCGAAGCCAGTGAAGGCGTTAGCGACTGGGTATCCTCAGAGGCCAAGCGTACAGTAGGAGAACCAGTAACCAGATGGTTGGTTTTTTTAGCAAAGAATCTACGAGAAGAATACGATGTTCTCCTTGTCGTTCGACAAGGTGGAATCCACTGGGCAACTCTAGCGAGACCACATTGAGAGGCTTTACTAGCAACCACTGGGGTCAGACGCCATTAAGAAAGAGAAGATTGTGGAATATCTGTGATTGTGTTACGTTTATGTATTGATGTGTTTTTTCGTTTCTGATTCAAGATTTTCGGTTCGACATAACTTTAGTCTGTCTTTCCGCAGTATGACGGGGTTTTCTCGGGGTGAGGCAGGTGGTTAAAAGAATAAGGATCGAGTTTTTTTTTCGAGAACCTTGCAATCTGTTTTTGTTTGCTTGTTTTTTTGTTTGTTTGTTTTTTCGCCTTACTATTCTCCAATTGGTTTTCGTGTGCCGTTTTTTATTCTTATGATGTCATGCAGCTATCAGTTTCTGAATGCATTGAGAATTTTGAATACTTATTTTAATGGGTAATATGATTTTTTTTAGTACAGTATGCAACGAGTACAACAACTGAAGTCATTCATTCCCAAGTCGGCAGTAGTGTACTATAAACAGCCATTACTCATTACAAAGGTACTACTATTTATTAGCTAATCGTTTATTGATAGATCATCGATTAGTGCGATTGCTTGGGATTTTCGATCGATCTATAACGTTGGAGACACGCTTGTGTTCAGGGTGAGATGCAGTTCTTATACGACGCTGACGGTAAAAAATATCTGGATATGTTTGCTGGAATTGTTACTGTGTCAGTGGGACATTGTCATCCGTGAGTTGGTTATTTTTCACATTCGCTTTATTTTCACTTTTCAAGAGGAAATGTAGCTATCTATTGTATCTTGGTTGAAATAGATCCGGTATGACTAAGGTAATCATGCAAAGTATGTAAAGCGATTTGAAGCTCAGAAGACACGTCACAGGTTAGGCTCTATGTGAGTGTCTAATTTAACCCAGTTGAGCTTACTGAGCTCTACTAGAGTATACATGGGGTTTGTTCCAAGTGATCCCAGACCCTTAATTGCTCTCTGTTTGTGAGGTTTTGACGGAATTCTTGAAATAAAAGATATAATCCACATAGATCCACATAGTCATGAATATGAGTACGCGCATGTGGTAGGTGTTATTAGTCAGTTAGGACCAGAAGAAACGAAGGGATCCAGCGTAGTCTTAAGGAATTTATTTGTAAAGTTAGATTTAGTTCGAATTTAGTGACACATCCGTCACCTGCGACTGCGCCACGTACATAACCTGGCTGCTAAGTGATTTGAGACCTCGTGTATGGAGATGATCTGTGGAGATAAACTCTAGATGGTGGTTTTCGAAAATGTTAATATAAGTACCAAATTGTACCAAAGGACGCGTGTGGCGCAGTGGTTGGAGGCACCCTGCAACACAAATGGGATCAATCTCCGCGCCCCAGACAAACCAAGCATTCCATTCCTCCGGAGTTGGCAAATTGGTAACAAACTTATCTGGAAGGATGGCAGCACTGGCTCAATACATCGGTTGGCCACCGCGAGTCATTGTAAAGGTTAGATATGCATTCAGTTACCTCCAACGGTGCTGAATGGAGTCGAATTTATGGCGCATCCATCAAGGATTGATCAACGTCGAGAGCTTTATTCTTTATCCTTTCACTGTACCATACTTCAGCTGACGTCACAAATATTCTTTTTATTTTATGTGACCCGTCCAGTCATGTACTGGGCAGATCCTAACACTTCTTTCATTCTATGCATTTCCTCGCGTATATCATCCACGAAAGTCTTTGAAAGTTCTTCGTGTGGGTTCGGCTGCTGCTTAAGAGTTTTTTTTTTTATTTTATGAATGCCGTTAGAAGCTACCTGATTCGGTTTTCCATGTTGTCCTGGGATAGCCGTGCTAGAGCGTACCTAAGTGAATTGGAAGGAAGGGGTAATACAATCGCAGTTAATTTTCATACCAACTTCGCGAATCCGGAGGGAGTGGAGTTTAGTGACCTCGGGGTGGGATCGAATCTGCATCGTGCTTGTGAAGAACAAAATCGCTAATACATCATTTCAATACCTCTTCTTTGTTTTAACGGGCGAAATTTTAACTGGGAAACACTGAGGGAAGCTAGAAAGTTGATTAGTTTTATTTATCTTAAAGGAACGAACATATATGAACAACTGTCTTTTGCTTTTGACTCCCTTTTCTTCCATATTTAAGAAATCATCGTCATTTATGCATGGTAGATAATTTTCCTGAATTTTTAAGCTTTCTGTATACCGTCGACCGCTTTTGTTTGCATTGGAGATCTAGAATTGTAATAAGGTAAATTCAAAAGGAGTTTAATACTAGTTGTAGTTTCCAGAAAGGTGAACGCTGCACTAAAGGCTCAACTTGATAAATTATGGCATACGACATCGATATACTACACAGAACCCGTGCTAGAATACGCAGAGAAGCTGACGGCAAAGTTTCCAAAGCATTTAAAGGTTGGTTCGAGCGGTTTTAGTGCGACCATTCTAAAAAATCTTGAAAGACAAAGCTTTCGACGTTGATCATTCACTGAATGATGCGCCATGCATTTGATTTCATCAAGCATCATTTGAAGGTGACTGAATACATATCTGGGCTTTACAATGACTCGCGGTGGTCTACCGATGTATCGAGCCAGTGCTGCTAGCCTCCCAGACAAGTCTGGTACTAATTTGCCGACCTCGGAGAGATCTAGTGGGACTGGGGCGAGGGGATCGATCCCATGTGTATTACAGCGCGCCTTTAACCACTGCGCTACATCCGTCCCATCATTCTTTGCTTACGCCTTACTGATTGGCAGCTCATGCGCTTCAAATAACGAAGGATTATCTTTATTCACTTTGCTTCGTATCCATGAATAACGCAATCTAGTGATTACGTTATTCTTTCCATGAACCTATTAAGGTTCTACCCAAAAGCATTATGCAAATAATCCTATTTTATGTTGCATACATAGCACTCTTCCCGACATTTTACTGCCTAGTTGCGTCCAAAGGTGTGTGTCGAACTGCACAGTTAGGGGGTTACTCCTTCCTCTTAGTTAGGTAGCCCAAACTAAAAGTGTTCGGTCCTTGTATCCGGAAGCTTAGCAAATGATATATCATTGCTATGCATCACCGCCACCACCCTGGCGCCATTGTTATCATCAGTGGGCAGTAAGAGGTGGTGACGAACTAGAAAACCATAACACAATTATTTTGAATACAGAGGAAGCAAGTCTTTTTGAGACAAAGAATTGCTGATCGAATAGGGTGTTTGAGCTCTCACGATTCTTCATGATTCGTGAAGAAGGTACGGTATTCAGAGTTTCAAATCCGTGCGACTTTGCATATCGTTCAGTTGTGCCATGTCAGGAACTAACTACGGCTACGTAGAGTGTCCAAAGAGTTATGTATGCATTAGCAGCGAAACTTAATCTGTCACTACTGAATTTAAGTTTGAAAAAAGCGTTAATATATTGTCTTTTGGGAATCCTCACCAAAATGGGTAGGATTGAGTGAGCGTAATATTGTCATATTTCCTGCCCTCACTGTAATGTTTATGATGTGAGAAACGGAGAAATTCGAAGCTTCAGTGTTCATGGAGCATAAATACACGCGCAGTTTCGGTGTGAGCAGATGTGACAGTGACGCTAGGGGTTAAATAGCATGTTGAGTGCTGTAGAAGCGTGTGAAATACTTTGTGGAATGGGACAGATTTCAGGGATTCTGTAGAGTTTAACAAGTTGTACATCGCTGATTGTTTCTCTTGACCTTATTAAGGTGTGCTTCTTTGTGAATTCCGGCTCTGAGGCAAATGACCTGGCGTTTGCATTGGCTAGAGTTCATACAGGTCGATTCGATGTCTTGTCATTGCGTAACGGCTATCATGGAATGACTCAGACTGTCCTTGGTGCGACGAACATTGGTGAGTTTACCAGTCTGTTATTAAGAAATGATATTTGGAGATCTTACCATTAGGATATAGCTGTCATAGTATGAGCTGTTGCCGCAGTAATTGAAAGTGGCTGTTTCGACTTAGGGATAAGAATCGTATGCGATGTAACACAAAGATTCAAATACTGTTATAATTTTCCAAGATGTATGTTGAAGAGATCTATAATAGACTCTTCACATTGACGACGACTCATCGAACTTTTTATTCTCGACATCCTTGTTGAGCAAACGTGAGGTGTTATTTTATTCTTTATTCACGAACAAGCTGACGTTTCGGCGGATTTCGCCTTCCTCAGAACCTGGAAAGGTCAAGTTGACAGCAATCTATCCGTCCAAACACCTCCATAAGCAAACCGAGATTTCAATCACATTGAACACAGAATAGCTTCCTTGCACACTCACCGCTTTCTATGAGTCTTCTATTAAGTATATCGCGTGGAGACGAACCTCAAAGAATTCACATGGAAGCGCAATGTGCTCCTTCTATCAGAATAACAGGCTTATATACTGCCCAATATCACACGTGATAATGAGGCATTCTTCCTTGGAGTTCATTTTCGGATTTCTGGAATTAATCCAGAACGCCTCGAGAGTTTTGCGCGCTTGTGTTCTCGATTCCTGTGTGAGGATCGTGATACGTGCTTCAAAGTCCTCCCGCTCTTTGGGTACTATGCGTGCCTAGTGGGGTATTTGGTTTACGTTTACCGACTAGATGTTCTTTTATGCGGACACAGTGTCTATCCAAAACAGTTATCTATATATCTACAGTAGAGTAACCGCCTTAGATCGGTCATTGGTGCTTCCACCTTAGACATAAACACAATGGCAAGACTTGGTGCCAGTCGCTGTCCCATTGTCAACCCTCTTATTTTAGCGTAGACTTATTTGACCATCTGAATCCACTCCTAAGGTAACCTTGCGTAGAGCCGCATGTAGTTTACATGAACTTCAAGAAAGACTCCGCAAAAAAGCTAGAGATGAAACGCAAAGTAGCTGCGAACAACACCAAGTGGGGATCATACCAATAGCACCATTTCCTCAGCCCTTCTTTAGACAACAAGAGCTCAATAATGAAGTTGATGTTAAATTTCGGATGTTTAAGAACGAAACTCAAAGTCCTTAATCACTATCTCGCGAAAAGATAAAGCTCAAACCTCACTGAACTGCAAAAACGTGGTATGCGAGAGGTTAAAGAGCTTATAAGGTTGAAAAACATAAGACTATCCGTTAGTGATAAGGGCGGAGAGTTTGTCGTAATTCCCCATCAGTTAGATGTGGAGATAACGAAAAAGCATCTTGAAGATACTTCACTTTATCGCCCATCAGCTGAGAAGGAGTTTAAAAGTAAATACCGAAAATTGAACCACGATTGAGCTAAAATGGCAAGGGCTGTTGGTTTAAAGCCATCAGTTATTTCTCAACTAAAAATGGACTTACCAACATGTCCCGTCTTGTACTTGCTTATAAAAACTCATAAGTTAGTTTTCGTCGTATTTTTGTTGAGCAAACGCGA